TTGAGCCCAGGAGTTGGAGGTTGCTGTGAGCTGAGATGCCACGGCACTCTGCCCAGTGGGACAGCTTGAGGCTCCTGTCTCAAAAAAAAAGAGGAGAAAATTATACTTACACCTGTAGGTATTCTAAGTCTCAGATATGGAATTCTAAAGAGCCCAAGTGTGAGTAATGGGTCCCTGAGGAAGTCTGCTACAGAGGACATGAATCTCAGCACCACTTACCCCCGAGCCAGACACCTGCACATATCATCCACAGCTGTATGCAGTTTGGCATATGCTGATGTGAGTCCTCTGTGTCAGGATATTAGTGAATAACATCAAGGGATTGCTTATCTATTGGTTTCAGATTAGTGTTGAGCACATTAGTTATTTATTTTTATTTTATTTTATTTTTACATATACATGTGATTATTAGGTTTCTACCTTTTGCCTTCCAACCAATCATTAGGTTTCTTTCCTTTTGCCTTCTAGTTTTGCCTCGAACTTTTGTTTCTAGTCCTTATCTTTAACGTGGTTATTGTTGGTAAATTTTAAGCATTTTTAATTCTGTGAAGGATACATATTTCTTCATTCTTGAGATGTGATCATTTTGCAACCGTAACTACTCTATACTTTATTCCAATAAAAGGCCTGGCCACCCATCCTTGGGGATCGTACTTGTTTTTTTCTTTCATGCCGTGCCCTTTTCTGAAAGAAAAGAAAAGAAAAGAAGAGAGAGAGAGAAAAAAAAGAGAAAAGAACAAGGAATATTCTCATTGTGTTTTTACAATTATAACCTGACTCTATTACCCCTACTTGGGGTAGATGCCTGGCTGATCTTCTATCACTGTGTCTGGCTTTTTGGCTACCGCACCTCTGAGAGAACACATGAAGTATCTCTTGGTCACCATTTTGTCACTTTCATTATTGATCCCATATTAAGTTTCCCCATTTCTTCTTCCTGTCCTGTTTCATATCCTTTGTTCAGGCGTATACTGGACCCTGATTCAACACTCCCACACTAGACACCATTCACTCATCTGTAATGCCATTTACTTGCTCTTCTTTACCTGGAAACATCATCTATACTCACTATCTCATTTCCTCATTTTCTATTTAACCCACACCAACTCAGCCTTCAAATACAGAACACCATTACCTCTCTTCCTCTATATCTTCATGGCATCTCTCCGTAATTGATGCTGTATTACTTAGATATTTATTCTCTTATTGTATCTGTAATTTCCAGAGCACATGACTCTGGGACGTGTTGTTATTACATTTTAGATGTGCCATTATGTTTTTCCCAAAAACGAAATTCATGAGTGTGTCTGCCTTGAATTCTATCTGTACATAGCGGTGACTTCACACATTCTGTGAAGTGAGGACCCTCCTCAGCCCAAAGTTTCAACTACTATTCCCAGCTCTGAGTATTTGTATAAAGATAATGAACCGATGGCAGCTAGAGTGGAATAATTAGCACATTCCCTGGGCTTTAAGATCATGAACTTTTGCCTCCTTTGATGAGGTAAGAGAGTAAGTAGCAAAAGGACTCTGCTAATTTCTGTCCCATTCCGTTCTGATCAGTGGCCTTCACTAGACTTCCCCAAGGCTAGATTATTAATGATGAACCATGTTTAGGTCATTCCAAATTAATGCTTTCTCTTCTGGTCTTCTTAGGCTGTGTTATTAAATTTAATGAACAAGTCACCCTTTCTCAAAGCCTTGTTTTTCATACTTAAGAGAAAAATCTTGAAAAATTCACAAGGACTGAATCCATTTGCCCACACTTCTTTCATTTAACTTCATAAGATCTTGCTAAAAATTTTTATTCACCATATTAAGGTTTTGAAAGTGTTTTTCTTCAGAGAGAAAGTTCAGGGTTAAAATTAAACCAGCTTTTCCCTGAAGGAAATGCGTTTACATTAACGTATGAAGGCTGATACCTTCCTTGGTATTAACGGAGAAGACTGGGATTAGAGGTTATTTGATTCTAATGAATGCTTTTGAGCCCTGAAATGTGATATAAAATAGAATAGCAAAACTAAGATGAAAAAGATTCTAATTAAGTAGCTAGAAGTAGTGTACACAACCCTGAAAACCAAAAGAACTGTAAAAAATAAAAGGGGGGGGGAGTGGTGGTGATGTTGGAGATATTGAATTAATATTGCCTGGGAGGTAGAGAAATAGTTCAAAAGCAGAGAAACATCCTGTACTGTGTATGATACTGTCTTTCAGGAAATCACGATGATTTCTCTTTCTGGAAATCTACATAATTGTTCTGAGAAAATAAGCACCACTGCTGTTGTGCATTTGTTTGTCTGATTCCTTTACAATGACAATAAGGATGTAGTGAAAAAAAATCTGTTTTATTTATGGAATTTTCATAGTGCCAGGAGTGCCAAGGTACTTCAAAATACAATGAATGCTTAAAAATAGATCAACATTGAGGGTGGTGCCTGTGGCTCAAAGGAGTAGGGTGCTGGCCCCATATGCCAGAGGTGGTGGGTTCAAACCCAGCCCCAGCTAAAAACTGCAAAGAAAAAAAAAATAGATCAACATTTAACCATTTAGGAAAAAGATATACAACTCCATGCTTAAGACAGTTTTCTTATCACTTAAAATGATGAATTCTACTTCTTCTGCGAATGCTACTATTGCACTCTACTGCAGTGGGAACAGCTCCTGAAAACTTTCATGATCTTGAAAAACACTCAACCTGTGAGATTTCAGGGGAAACAAAGAACTTTTTAAAGAAGATTCTAAGCCTGTTGTCTTTTTACAGTTTGGATCCGAGTATTTTATAATGAAGAATACATATAAAATAATATTATTAAATTCCGCTTTATTTAAGAGAATATTGAATTATTGGAGGAGAAAAATTGCTTTAATTCAATAACATTTTTGTCTTATTTTCATGGCAATCTTTCCATTTGGCCTTTTCTTATCCCATTTTCTTTTCAAATATTAAGAGGCACTTGATATATTTATTGGATCGCTATTGCTATGTCAAACAAATTCAGTTGTAATAGTAAAAGACCATTTTCTCTGCAGTTGTGAGTATTTTGTATTTTATTTTGAGACTTACTAAGGTCCCCTTTTCTAAGGCTAATTTCACCTTTATGTCTAAATAGAATTTGTAAAAATAGACACTTATAGAAAAGAATGTTGCTTTGGCATGAGGGTAAAGGGATTCGACGAGCTGAAGAATTACAGCGTCTGATTTAACCAGTGACGCCCAGTCTCCTGCCCTCTTCTGCCCTTCTCTATATAAATGCTTCCTTCCCCTTCTGCAGTTGTTTCTCTTTCTTCCCTTTAATTGTGATAGTTCCCAGAGTTTCTTTCACATTCTTCTATTTAGATTCTGCCTTAAGAAATTTGCATATATTATTTGTATGTATTTGGGGAGTGCGTGTGATGTTCTGATACCTGTATTCACTGTGCAATGATCAGGGTAATTGAGATATCCATCAAATCAAACATTTATCGTTTCTTGGTGTTAAGAACATTCCACATCTTCTTTCTCAGATAATTTGAAATAAACAATGAATTACAGTGAACTATAATTTCCCTAGTGTACTCTAAGTATTGTACCTAATTCCTTCTAACGGAATTTTGGTAACCCTCGACCAACTTCTCATTTCATCCTCTTTCTATAATGCATTCTCTACTTTGTAATCATAACCACTGTCAGAACAATAAAATCTCCACTAAAATCCTCAGGGAGAATAAATTCCTTGGCAAGCTGTTATCTGTTATAACACTTACTACAGAACAGGTAATTGGTTTCACGTCTACACCAAAATGTCGTATAATTAACAACTGAAGCCTTATAGGTGGTTTCAAGGAAATAATACATACTACCTTAAATAGTGATAATAACAGACTTTTTTTTTCTATTATGAATGATTTGTTGTTTACAGTCTACTGTCATTAGCACTTCTAATCCCATTAAAAAATGATTTACCTCATTCAATTCTTTTTTACTATATGAATCATAGTAATTATTGGCTTCCAGAGCTCAGTTTTTTTCTGATTGCTCATTAAAATACAACTAAAATAAATAACCAACATAATCTTGAATAAAACTTTTAAACAGATAGCTAGATCTGCATAATGCGAAATAAAAGCGTATTTTCGTTTCATAGGTACTTACAAACGTATCAACATTTTTATTGAGATGTATGTACTGAAGCATTTATATCCTGCAATTTTAGAGAAAGGTATAGAAAAACCTTGTAACATGGTTAGTCTCTGCTTACCCACCCTGCTCAAAAAACAAACCAACAGGTGAATCCTATTCCAAGAGTTGCTTGGACTCAGCAAGAGAGTTGTTAGGTTGTTCAAACTGGAAATACTGCTGGTAGTTTTCAAATCCTCCTGCAACCCAAAAACTACTGTTGGGATTGGGCAAACCTCACTCAATAGTCTATTGTAGATGCGTAGATGTTTAATAATCTATGAAACACCTGTAATAAACGACAGTGATGATAACTTTTGAAGGTTTTGGTAACACTTTAATTACACAATAATAATTAGTTGAGCACTCACTGTGTGTTATTCTTGGGTACATTGTATATTTTGGTTGATCAAAAGTATTGGTTTGTTTTTAATGTTTCTTTTCTTTCCTTCCGTCTATCTTCTTCTTCTTCTTCTTCTTTTTTTTTTTTTTTTTAGATGACACGAGAACAATACATATTAGCCACACCACAGAATAACCTGCCAAGGACTGAGAATGCCCAACTTTACCCGGTGGGGATTTATGGCTGGCGAAAGAGGTGCTTATACTTCTTTGTCCTTCTGCTGTTGGTAACCATGATAGTTAACTTAGCCATGACAATATGGATATTGAAAGTTATGAATTTCACTGTGGTAAGTACCACCATGATTTTACATCTATTGCTTTGGGTTCATAAATGCAGCTATGCATTTATTTATTTTTTTATTTATTTTTTAATCAAAAGTTATTCATCCCAATCTTTATACATATGTATCTTTAACAAAGTCAGTCATTTTAAGCCTGCATTCAAATCCTCCAGTCCTGACACACACATGATACTGCTCCCTGCTACTGAAGTGTGGGAAATTTGTTTCGTAAGACAGCACAGACACTGATTCATTAAGGAGGCAGGAGACATTTGGCCAGTGAGCGTAAACCAGCATTTGCAACTATCTTGGAATTTACTCCTAATTTAAGGAGTTTTTAAAGATAATATTTCACATTATAATTAATGTTAATGCCATCAATAATAAGTGACTTTGAGTGTATGCTACTTTAGCTCTCTGTATTTTCTGTCTATACAACACATTGCATGATTGAATCTAAACCGTGGGATTTATCCTGAGCTGTCTATAATTGCTATCAAATGGTGACCCATTACTTTTACAACATATACTTGGTAAATAGGAGATAAAGCAGAAATTAAATAAAATTGTAGGAAAAGTAATACCTATAAAATGATTGTACAATTAATTTATTGATGACTTTTGCCTTGGTTTATTGAACGCATGCAAGAAATCTATAAGCTGGACTTATAGACTTAGGTGGGAAAAATTTGCTGTCCTGGCAAAGTCCAGTTTAGATCATTTCATATTTTCTAGCTAATTTTTTTTTAATTTCTCTACTGTGCTTTTAAATCATTCTGCCTTGGTTTGGAGACCTCAGATGTCTTCATATAGGAGAGTTACCTTTCACTTGCTAAACAAGCTGCTGTATTCTTTAGAACTCTGCCTCTTCGGGGGTGAGTCGAAAGCTGGCTGATATTCCTGTGCTGGGCGATTTTTTTTTCTCCTCTCCTGGATATTGATTTAGTAGGAATTGTCTCTTTCTCACTTCTCTAACACTTTATTCTAACCCAGGAAACAACCTCAAAAGGGAAAATGAGCCCAGCCTCTGTCCATGATGTGAGGTATGACTGTCCACAGGCCTGTAGGTCAGGAGTCTGGGAGGGCAGGTGGCCTCACCTTCCAGAGAAGAAAAACTATAACTGTGTAAATTAGGACAGAGTAGCATAAGTACAGAAAAAAGTAAACAGAGCAATAATTCCATTTCTTCCAATACAGTGTCAGTTTTGAAGAGTATTGATTAAAAAGAAACTAAAAGTACAGGAAAGATGAGCAGGATTCAGTGTGTTCCCAGGGCTGGAAAATAATAATTGTGACCGAGACATGGTATGTGTTCAGGACCACGGATCAGGCATCGTGGGTTATCTGTGGGTGTCTAGAAGTGGAGTTGGGAGCTAGTAGGTAATTACTGTTTATCGCATTCTCTGGGGATGCATGGGAACTGTTCTTTTGTCTAAGCTTTGGCTGGGTTTCCCACTCATTGGGGAATATTCTGGCGTGAATGTCACCAACTCTCTCTCTGTTTCTGTTCTTCTCCACGTTGCTCCCACCTTATCTGACCAGCGTCTGGGCTTCATTCATCCTAGGCTGGGGCAATGTCCGTGCTCCTGCCAACTCCCTTCTGCTACCTTCAATATCAGCCAAACTATCAGTTGCTGATGTCAACATTTTTAAATTCCTTTGTCTTAACAAAGAGAGAGAGAGAGAGAGAGAAAGGAAAATTTGGAAAAGTGATAAAGAGTAGAGTTTTCTCTAAGTTTTGAACGTTCATGTGTAATATTTGATTTCCTTTCTCAAAAGGTATCTTTCAAAATCTCCTCAAAGATAGAATCAGCCTCTAGTTTCAGAGAGCCTTGATTCTATCCAATGACCAGATGATGGGAATTATCAAGTTCCAGCCAAGTAAGCTTCTCAAGTGTATTTAAGTTAATTAGAAAAATATACTTAAATGCATTAATTATGTGGCTGTTGTATCATATTCCCAATATCCTGTCTCATGCTGTCGCCCAGGCTGGATAAGCCATTCATGGGAAATAATTGGGACAATCACCTGTGTCTTCAGGATACTTCTGGGCCTCAGGGATTCTGTCACCCATGGAGCTATCTAATTTGAACCTCAGCTGGCCAAAATGTAAATGCCGACATAGACCGAGTGATAATGAAATCCTAGGGTTGTTTCCATAGGAATCTTGGTTTTTGTTTTTCCTTTTTCTTTTGAGTCGTGCCTTCAAATTATGATTTTGTCTTTTTATGTTCGAAGGAGAGCCTGTCCCTCCTTCAGTCATAAAAGCTATGTGCTTGTAGCCAAAGTAGATACACAGATAGAGCTGTGATGATTTTCTCAAGGCCGTGTTTGTAGAGTCACACACTCTTGTTTTCAATGGAGCTGTTCTTCATAGTTCAGAGAAATTCAGGATTCCTTTAGTAGCTGCAGATTTTAGCAGTCCTGAATGCTACAGATTAAGTTGTATGTACTTGAGAAGTATTAGATAATTTCCAATCCTCTTACATTGAGCAGTAAAAAGAGAATCAATTTTATGTTTTCGCTCGCACGTTACATTTGTATCTATGTCCACAGAGAATACCAAGGATTAGTTGGCATACTTTAGCAAGAAGTAGAAAATGATATGCAAATCATTTGGGGACCATCATTGATCTGTACAAAATGTATTTCTTTTTCCTTATAACTGTTGCCACCCCAAAGAGGACATATGAGGCTGTTAACATCTTTTATTTGAACGAACTAGACAGGTTATTGTTATCGAATTACTGTATTTTCAGCATAGCCAGGGTAGCTGCTAACCTGTCTTAATAGGTTGAAGTTGATCATTCTGTTCAATGTTGCGCATGATCTGTGTAGTTGATGTGATACTATTTTATGGAAATAATTTGTCTTTCTCATTTTGTGATGAATAAAATAATCCTGCTCTTTGTGATACCCAGGTGCGGAGAAATGAGAGAAAAGAAATGAGTTTATACCACAGGGGGGAAGACTTATCCTGGCTCTGTGGGTTGATAAATGTAGCCATGAGTTGAAGAGGGAGATTCTGAAACCTCATTCCATCAAGATCATTACAACCCAATTACATGTTTTTAAGTCACTGTTGTGGTTCAATATAATGGACTATGCTAAAGGGTCTATCAAATCCAGCCCTTTTGCTGCTCTATTCTTTTCTATATTGAAGTCACATTCTAAATAAGTTAGCTCTATGTTTAAAAATTATAAAGGAACACTTTTCTAAGAAGAACATTTTCCAGCTCCATCCATGTAAACATGAAAGAGGTAAAGTCTCCATCTTTCCTTATGGCTGCGTAGTATGCCATGGTGTACATGTTCTTCTTAGCAAAGTATCACAAGAAGGGAAGAAAAAATATCCAGTGTACACAGCCCTATTATGAAACTAATTTATAGCTTTCATATAAAAGCTATAACCTAATTATAGCCTAAGAAAATGGGGAGGAGTGAGAATGGGGGGAGGGGAAGAGGGTGGGTGGGTGGAGGGATCACCTCTATGGTTTGTCTTACAAGGGTACAAGTGAATCTTTCTAAAAATAGAATATAAACATCTTAACACAATAACTAAGAAAATGACATAGAGGCTATGTTAACCAGTTTGAAGAAAATATTTAAAAATGTATATGAAAACACCACACTGTACCCCATGATTGCATTAATGTACACAGCTAACATTTCATTAAAAAAAAGAATGTAGGATCCAAAAAAAAAAAAAATTTGTAAAGGAATACAATAAGAAAGTGTTCGGTTTAAGAATAAGAGTACTGACTCTTGGCAGCATCCAAGTGCAGCCTAGTTCTATTAGATGTGCTAGCAAAGCCTGCAAAATAAGGAATAGACACATAAAGAACATTTACTAAGCAGAAGGGGAGAGAAAAATCTACATGTTGTGGATGAGAAGTGGAGAAAACCCAGAGAAGGGTTTGAAGCAATTTACTGGATACATTGGAGAAAAAAACTATTAGAGCTTTGTGGGGTTCTATCTTTCATAAGAAAATGTGAGTAAATACAAGTTGGCGTCATAGAAGTACTGAGTACGTTGGACACTTTTTCCTCCATTCTTGAGATCCTATACTCAGGAGAATATATTCTAGGTCCCTCCATATAAATATAAAAGAGGTAAAATCTCCATCTTTTTTAAGGCTGCATAGTATTCCATGGCATACATATACCATAATGTATTACTCCGTTCATGGGTCAGTGGGCGCTTGGGCTTCTTCCATGGCTTGG